GTGTAGTATTTAGTGATTCATCACTTACAACACCTGGTGCTCGTCACAACATTGTTAATTGGCCTTCATTTTCATCTGAATACTTTGATATATGAACAACAGGTAAAATTTGAGTTTTGCTTGCTTGTTTTCATTTGTTTTAATTATGGTCTCCTAACATGAATACTTTGTATACATTGGCTTAGCATGTTTTACTATTCAGTTGCCCTAAATTTTCTTAAAAGTATACGTATTTTGGGGGCACCTGGCTGGTTCAGTCAGTAGAGTGTGCAACTCTTGATCTTGGGGTCAGGAGTTCAAGCTCCACACTGGGCCTAGAGCTTACTTAAAATTTTTTTTAAGTGTATGTATTTTTTTTTTTTTTTTTTTTTTTAGAGTGGGGAAGAGGGGCAGAGGGAAAGGGAGAGAGAGAATCTTTTTTTTTTTTTTTTGAAGATTTTATTTATTTATTTGACAGAGAGAGACACAGCGAGAGAGGGAACACAAGCAGGGGGTAGTGGGAGAGGGAGAAACAGGCTTCCCGTGGAGCAGGGAGCCCGATATGGGGCTCGATCCCAGGACCCTGGGATCATGACCTGAGCCGAAGGCAGACGCTTAACGACTGAGCCACCCAGGCGCCGGGAGAGAGAGAATCTTAAGCAGGCTCCATGACCACCCTGGAGCCCACAGGGGCAGGGAGTGGTGGGGGGGGCGGGGGGGGGTTGTCTTGATCTCACAACCCCGAGATCATGACCTGAGCTGAAATCAAGAGTCGGACACTTAACCAACTGAGCCACCCAGGTGCCCCTGTATATGTATTTTTGAAAACAAATGAGCATAAAGCTTGAAATAGTAGAGCAGACAGCACAAAAGAGCAAAGCACAAAAACTAAGTAACAAAAATTAATACTGTGGACACGTCAGTATTTTGTCCATTGATTCTTACCAGTTGGTATTCGTCTGGCCTGCTATCTTCACACACAAACCTTGATTCATTTTCTTTTCTGATAGTTCTTGAACTCCAGCCAGACTGGCCTTAGATTAGCTATGTGACATCATCCAGTGGGGCGTGTTGGAAGCCACATTCCTAACCCACTTCCTCAAAGACTGATTTAGTAGTTTCAGGATAGGGCTTGAAGTCCATATTTTCAAGGTGCCTCCCATGTTGCAGATGCAGGGGAGACTCAGGGACCTCTGCTCTGTACCCTCACTCGTTTTCACCCAGGAGTTCCTTCCCTGTCCCCGCTACCCACGCAGTGCCAAAAAGTGTGCCAACCTCTGCAGCCACTGTTTCAAACACTTATAACTACCCTGCCAAGGAGATGTTCTTAATCCATAGTATAGGTGAGGAAACCAAGGCTCGATTATATTTAGTAATTTGTCCAAAGTCTTCTGCCTCTTTCCTTGACAAGAACATGTAGTTAATGCCATAGTTGATGTTAATTCATTTGTTTAAGCATGTAAAAAATCTCCTTAAGGGGACGGGCCAAGCCTTGCCCTTCCATGAGAGTCAGAAATTGATGGCAAGAAACAGAAACCCAGGGGTGCCTGGGTGGCTCAGTCGGTTAAGCATCTGCCTTCTGCTCAGGTCATGATCCCAGGGGCCTGGGACTGAGTCCCACATTGGGCTCCCAGCTCAGCAGAGAGTCTACTTCTCCCTCTCCCTCTGCCCCTTCCCCCTGCTTGTTCTCTCTCTCTCAAGTAAATAAATAATGAATCTTTAAAAAAAGAAAAAAAAAAAGGGACAGAAACCCATTCAAAAGACATGAAGAAGACTTATGGAAAGGATATAGGAGAATTTCATGGAAACTGAATGTAGAAAATACAGCTGGGCCTTAAGGAAATTGGCTTAAACACAGGCTTGGGTGTTTGAGATACTTGAAATAACAGAGATAGATAATTCTCACATATTTATTTTCCCAATCTACGTATAAATGGCTTACACCCATAAGTTTCTCCAGCCAGGTTCAGGAGCTGCCCTTTGTCTTCCCATAGCCATAAATGGAACATTGCAGGTCCCTCCTTCCTGCATAGCTGCCGCTAGAGTGTCTACTCTCAACACTCCTCCTCCTCCCTGTTTTCACCAGGCTCCTGGCCTTTGCTGGATAAAACAAAGGAAGAAAGCATTGCAGGGGAAAAGGGGCCCTTTATTCCCTAAAGGCTCTTTCATTCTATTTTTTTTCTTTTTTAAGTTTTTATTTAAATTCCAGTTAGTTAATATATAGTGTAATATTAGTTTCAGTAAGGCTCTTTCATTCTAAATGAGAGAAGTCAACTCAAACTGACTTAAAAAAAGAAAAAGAAATTTACTGGATTATGTAAATAAAAGATTCAGGATTAAGTCCAGCTCTGGAATTGGCTGGGGGGTCACATTATAAACTGCCCCAGCTTCAACAATTTTCCTATGGCAGGCATTTAATAAGTATTTGTTGAATTGAATTAAGGCTATGAATTTTCCAGAGTCAGGATGTCTAAGTACAGAATTTGTCATATTTCCTGGTTTTGATATATAGGGCTTTTATTTTATTGATGTTAGTATTTATTAATATTAATATATTAAGTATTTTTATTAATATTCTACAGTATGTAATATTTTATTTTATTTTTCATTGAATAATTTGGAAGCCAGAATTTTTTTTTTTAATTTTCAAGTATAGTTAGGGATATTTGTGCATGTGTGTTTTTATTTTGTTTTTTGTTTTACTTCTAGATTTATTGCTTCCTGGTAAGAAATTGTGAATATATTATTTTGGTGTTTTGCAATTATTTTGTTTTTCTTTTTGGAAATTCTTTCTTTAGATATGTTAATATATTCAGTCTGATTACAATTGGGGCTTGGCAGGGAAGCTGTTTTGTCACTTTAGGGTGACCTTCCCTAGAGCTGGCCAAGTACATTGTCTCTTTTAAACTTGAACTCTATATAGAAAGCTTATTTCCCCATTTTCAAACTACTTGGAGGAGGGTCTTGTCTGTGGCCTTATATACTACAATCCCCTCATGAGTACAGTGATAAATGTGCATACCTTACAGGGCTGTTATCAGGATTAAATGAGTTAATACATGTAAAATGTTTAGCACTGTGCCTGGTCCATAGTAAGCCGTCAATAATAGCTCTAAATGATATTATGTTCTTTTTTCTGAACCTGCAGTTTTGCTTTCAGTGGTATTCCACTTTGATAGATATAGGATGGTTTTTAATTACCCCCAACTTCTTTCTAACCAAGAAAATCACACAAACAGATGAAGAACAAAAGGTAAAGAAAAACTTCCCTACTGGGCATCCATGTGATGACTTTATGCAGCAACCCTTAACAACACAACAATAACAACAAAAGCCAAGTTGATTTTGTTTTAAACATGTTCTACCAGGTTCTGTGAGAGAATTTGCAGAGCCGCTGAGCAATGTGTTCACAGCTGAATCCTAATAAGAGATTCTAATTTTCTACTTTTTGAGGACTCGTTCCTCTCCACCATCACCGTGTAAACCTTTGGGGCAGGGATTAGGTCTTTCCTTTCTGGTCCTCACTGCTGTGCACGGGTGCCTCATAGAGAGCTGTGAAACACATTAGGAGTTTTGTGAGGGTTAAGAGCTCTGTTATTAGAGTCCGCCAGACCTGTTCAGCTACTCAGAAATTAAGGAATCTGCCTTAAGAGCTATGCCCCGGCCTCCAGTCACTTGCTTGTTATTATTGACCAATTATCATGGTCCTTGTTTGCATACATATTTGGTAATAATTTCAGATGGTGTGGAAAAGTGCTCTGTAAACTTTATACCTCACTGAATCCACTTAAGAGCCCCTCAAGGTGGGTGAGTTTTTCAGATGATTACATGTGAAATAATGGAAAAGTAATCACCAGCCAAATTATTATTCCTTTTATGAATGAGGTAAACTTTTTTTTAAACATTTTATTTATTTATTTGAGAGAGAGACTAGACCGAGAGAGCAAGCACACGGGGGGGGGGGGCAGAAGAAGAGGGAGAAGCAGGCGCCCCACTTGAGCAGGGAGCCAGACGCAGGGCTCCACCCCAGGACCCTGGGATCACCACCGAGCTGAAGGCAGACGCTTAACTGAATGAGCCACCCAGGCGCCCCTGGATGAGGTGAGCTTTAACAATGAGGTAAGATTTTTAAAATCTGCCAATAATAACTAACAGGTGGTGTTTGGTGGTTCTTTCAGTGACATTAACTTAAAAATTTAAGAATTATTATTTGTTCTTATTGCAAGTCCACCAAAAATGACTAATGGTGTAGCACTGCATTCCTTAATACTCTTGGATCTAAAACCACATATCCTCGTAAATATAATTTGTAAACACCTGACATTTAGTATTCAGATTTGTCAAACATCTGTCAGATGAAAACCGGAACACTTCGTGAGGCTGCGAAAGCCACCGGCGTTCTCTTTATCTCTCTCAGATCTCCCTTATCTGAAGGCAAACGTTTGGCGGAAGACCAATTCGCTTGTGGCAGTGACTGTTTCTGTGCTTTCTCATACAGCGCTTTCAGCTCTGAGTCAGGGAAGGTGGAGGCCCGAGGGATCCGTCATCTTGTTCCCGGGCGCCTTTTCTTCTCTTTTTCATCTGACTTCTGGTCCTGAGGTGGGTAGTGCAGCTCCGCGATAGTACATCTCCCCAGCCCTCTGAATTTAGGCCGGCCTTATCCCTCACCGTCGTCATTCCCTCCCTCCTGTGTTCCTATTTCTCCCAGCCGGATTTACTGCCTCGCAAATTTTTTTTGCCATTAATTGGTCGCGGGAAACCCCGCCGGAGCCTCACCCACCCGCAACCCACACACACGCAGGGAACCCTGGCCCGGCTCGCGCCAGGCCACAAGCGCGAGAAATCATTCCATTCCCAGCGACCAATCAGCGCTCCGCACGCTGCCGCGCCAGCCAATCCAAGCAAACACACGTTGCCCCGGCCAACTTAGGCCACAAGCTCTTCGGTCGCACCCGGCGTCTGGCAGGGGACTTGGCTGGGGGATTCGGCCCTCTTCCCCGGAGGGCCTTGGTGCCTTCCAATTGGCTGCGAGCAGCGGTGGCCCGTCGCCCATTGGCTGCTGCCAGCCCCGAGGGGCGGGGAAGCCGGAGGAGCTCTAGAGCGTCCGTGTCGCGGAAAGCCGGGAGTCTGGGGCGAGCCCGGCGCGCCTCGCAGCGTACCACGCCTCGCTGCATCTCAGGTAGCCGGGGGTGCGGGCGCGGAGTCGTGGCGGAAGTGAGACGGCCTGGAGGGAGGGCGATGGGGGCTTTCGGGGCGCTCTCCCGGGTGCGTTTTCCGGAGCGGCCCCGGCGAGCGGGGCTGGGGAGGCCGGCGTGGGGGGTGGCGGACCGCGGCGTCCGGGCGGGTGCAGCCTTCACCCGTGAGAGAGGAAAGGAGTCCCCAGAAGGATCTCAGGCTTGCACCTCGCCTCTCCGCACCGCTCACCAGTTTAAGGACTGGGATGCCTGCTAGGCGTCAGTTTCTGCATCCGTTAAATGGGGAATGGGTAGTAATAACCTTGCTTCTAGGGCCATGGTGAAGATTCACCGAGGTCGCGTTCCTTGAAGGGCGCAGTGCTTCCTGATTCGTGGTGGATGCACCGACAACGTAGGGCCCCATCTGCCCACAGCAAGCTCTGACCGAGGTGCACTGATGACAGAGGCAGCGTTTTCTAGGTTAACTGTCTTCCAGCTTCGGTCCTTTAACTCATGTAATTCCTCAATAGAGTTACCGTTATCCTTAATGTGCAGTTAATAAAGATCACCTGAGCTATTTTGGGATCAGGAGCCAGGACAAAAGGACAGCTTTAGTGTGATGTCAGATTTTTTTATGTGAAGTCTCTTCCAGCTTGTGATCAACTTCCGGTGTTTTACAGAAGAGACTCTTAGACTCTGAAGGCAGAAGTCCTGAGTTGCAGTTCTGTCTGACTCCATCACTTATTAGCTGTGTGATCATGGACAAGTGACTTAGTTTCTCTGTTGGTACTTTCTCTGCAAAATAAGGATAATAGGATCAGCTTTTAGGGTTGTTTATGAAAATTAAATGAAATAATACAATTTAAAGTGGCCAGAAAGACTGATCACATAGTAAATGATCAATAAATGTTAGCTATTATTTTAAATAAAGGATTAGAGCATTAGGAGCTCAAACATTAACTTGGACTCAAAGCTGAGATATTATTAGAATTTAATATTGCCTTAACTGTTGTAAAAAGTCTCAACATTGTTGTAAAGCTGATACTAGAATAAGCTAAAGTGAACACTGAAACAGAGGGAAGGGCATTGGTCACGTTGTGGAAGTGGGCTTCCCTGTTGGATTCCTGCTATAGCCAGTCTCAAAAATGAGAAACTACTGTATTTGACTGAGTTGGAAAAGCTAAATTACAAATTCAAGATTGATTGGAAATCAAGCATATGCTGAAATTTTTATGTTAGGTAGATAATATAATTTAATTTACAAGGTCTTGGTTTGCATAACATCTTGGGGAAAATCTATGGCATGTTAAATTGAAGCTATTCACATAAAACCCTTATCAATTGGGACATGGAAGTTTAAACAATTCTGATAATATCTTCTTTAACAAGTAAATTCTGACTTCATCATACTACATAGGTACAAACAGATTTTTATGACATTCACTTTTTATTAGAGGTTAAAATGTTTATTATGTTTCAAATTTAAAATAGAACCTATGGCCATCTCCCTGTGATGTAAAGTTGATGAAAACTGGAGTTGTCTTGGCCAAAGACTATGGTGCTGATAGATGGCCACAAGACAATTTCTGACTTTGGCAGGCTGCCCCCTCTACAATGGCAGCCAGTGTCTACACTAGTGATCATTGCAAAGAAATGGGCATAGAAAACACGAACAAAAAGGTTAGTTTAAAGTAAGGGAAAAAAATAAGGAAAAAAAAATAAGAGAAAAAAATGAAGGTGGACATTACTGAGCACTGAGTAATAGGACTGTCAAAAGTATACAGCCTTTTTGAAGGAGCTGCTAGATTTTGATACGATTAAGTGGTACCAATTCTCTGATATGTAAGTGATGGAATTGGAGAGTTTCCTGTTGTAGGTCAAGAAAGGGAAAGAAAGAATTAGTAAGAGGGAGTTCAGAATAGTATTTAAAACATTTTCCTTACATTCTCCATAGGTGGAAATTGTAGTAGAGCATAGTGTATGCTTTCCTTTGAATTAATGGGAGTACTCTGTTTTATTAGAAGAGCATCAAGACCTTGATAATAACCCCATTAGTGTTCGCTCCCCAATTCTGGAATATATTTCCAGAGATATGTTATGCTTGCCCACACACAGATAGTTGAGACAGTAACCATTATTCTCTTTTGGACTTAATCTTGATGAAAAAAATCCATTTTTGGAATGGATGAATGAACTGCCTGGTTAAATACTTCATTTGGGCTAAAAAAGAGCTTTCTGAGTTTACACTTGTTTGTTCTCCTTCTTTCCTCCTCCTACTCCACTACCCTTAAAAGAGGCTCATTAATAATTTTTAATGTTTTAGCTTTGTTGTTGTTGCAATTCAGAGTTTACTTAAAAGGTGGAATAAGTCAACTTTGAGAGCAAAAACATCCATATCTGTAGTTCTGGGACCTGGTAGATACTAGATGTGTGGTAAATAAAATAGTAGACTTCCTTGAGAAATTGCTGTGTTTAATTATGGCAATGGAATTTTTAGTCATTCAGAAGCTCAAGGATGATTGGTGTAAACAGGCTCATCTTAGATACCTTGAGGTCTTCCATAAGTGAGACTAGTAGCTCACTGTCTACCTATTTTTCCCACTTTTATTTCCTGGCTTCCTACTGCATGCTAGACATAGGGGCATAACATTGAACAAGTCACATTTCCTGTCCCAAAAGGTTTATAGTTAAATTGGAAAAGATGACCATTGAATAGTTACAGAGTTGCTGTGAGAAACATTGGTGGGGTGGGTTGGGGGGGAAATAACCTAGTCTTTAGGGGAGTCCAAGAAAGAAGAGTAGAAATTAGGCAGTGAAGCTCAGCCAGATCATAAAGGGGCCCATAAGCCATATTAAGGAGTTTAGGCTTTATAGTAGTCAGTAAGAGGGAATGATTACTAAGGTAAGCACCTTAAAGATCCAGATTCTCATCTTTATAGGTAAGTTTTTATTGCTTACATTTGTGTAATGGATTTGTACATAGATAACATCTGTGATAATAACATTTTTACATTTCATCTTTGATTTCTATCAAGGAGATTTGAAAAAAAAAAAATATCTTACCGGCCAAACACAGGAACCTGGCAGGCAGCCTTTGGGTTTAAAGAATATGTTTAATCATAATGATCCCAGCAATAGATAAATTAGTTTTTCAAGTCTTGTCTAAGAATTTGTGTTTGTTTATAACATACCCTTGATTAAGGTCATTGTACTGGCTATCAAGTTGGCAGTCTCTTGAGGGGAAATGAGATACTTTCCTGACTGGCACACTTCTTGAATGAGCTCATCCACTTTTAGTCTATGGGTGGGATCTATATTTATTATATATTTTGCATCACTTACATCATTTACATAGATCCTAAATTCTATGTTATTGAATTTTCTATATATACTTTCCCATGTTTCCCATATTTTGGGATACACCACCCCAAAATATGCCACTTTGGAATAAGGATTATTTTGAGCTGAAGGCAATTCAGCAAATGCAGAAAGAGCTGTTTTCCCTCCCTCTACTGCCTGAAAGTAGGACATAAATTTCCCTTTGTGAAGGTCTTCCCTCTCCCCTCTCCTATACTAGGAGGAGAACAACTCATCACTGGAGGTAGAGTTGGCACCAAAATTGTCTGAACAAACTTACTTTACTACAATAACTTTCTTTTCTATTAATTTTGTCTCATATATTTACTTTCTCATAATTTACCACCCCTAGAATCCCAAATGCCTTTTCCTTTGTCTTGTCACTTTTCCGTAATTTATCACCTTTTGTTAAAATGGTATAGAAGCCCTAAGTCTAACTGCTTTTTTTTGGGTCTCCATTTCTTTCTTTTTTGTGAAGGCCTCTACGTATATAAAAAATAAAATATTAACAGCAAATAAAATTTGTGTGTCTTTTCTCCTGTTAATATACCTTCTTTCACTTTAATCTGCAGGTCCCAGAGACAGAATCTAAGAGAGTAGAGAAAAAGGTTTTTTTTTCCCCTACAGTTCTATAACATCTTGTTTATCATTTTTAATGGCTTGTATGCTTTGTTCTATGCTATTTAAATATTGACTACAATATTGATTTATTTCTGTCATCTTTAGTTTTTAGATAGTGGTTCTCAACCCTGGCTGAATAACAGAATGATCAGCGAGGCTTTTTATAGAACCTAGATTTGGGGGGCCTACTCCAGAACAGGCCCAGTGAATCAGACTGTCTGGCAGTGGGCCCTGAAATCTAATATCTAAAAACAGTGTCAAAGAAAACCAGAGGTAGATAGAAGTTAAAGTGGCAAAGGCAAATCTTACTCAAGAACTATTAAAGTAGGGGAAAAGATACATCAGTATAGAATTGCACCCTCTTCTGGAGGTGCCTGGGTGCCTCAGTCGATTAAGCCTCCAACTCTTGGTTTTGGCTCAGGTCATGATCTTGCAGTCTTGGGATCGAGCCCTGTGTCTGGCTTCATGCTCAGCGTGGAGTCTGCTTTGGATTCTCTCTTTCCCTCTGTCCTCCACCCCATTTTCTCTCTCTCTCTCAAATAAATAAACAAAATCTTAAAAAAAAAAAAAAAAGAATTGCAGTCCGGTCTGAGTACAACAAGGACAGTGGGGATTTGTAGCCAAGGAGCAGGATAGGTGTCAATGGGTGGGAAGTTTCTAAGAGGAAACATTAGAGGTAAGAGGGATTCTTGCTGAATGCAGAGCAGCATGATAAGATCAAGGGTAGGATGAGGAATTTTTGAGGGTGAGGGGTGTTTCAGTAAACTAGCTCAGCAGGATTCTTGCTAAAACTGAATTTAGGGGCCAAAGACAAGCCCAAGAACAAGGCCTAGTCGAAAAGAGGACTCAGAGGAGCCTAGGAAGGGAATCTTTGTCAACAGCTACAACTACTACAAAATAAAACAAAGGGGATTCTTATGTATGCATCTGTACTTGAGGATTGCAGCCTTATTTCCATAGAAGTTTGAGGCTTGACATTTCATTTAGATCTTTTCTTTATTTCCTTTTTAGTAATAACTTGATGGTTCTGTAAATTGTGCAGCTTTTCCCCAGAAAGATACAGAAGAAAAATTCTTTATTCTTTTACTGGAGTGCACTAAGGCACCAAAAGAACACAAAATCAAGACCAAACAATTCTTGTTTTGAAGCAAACACACTTCAACAAGTATTATAGGGGCCTATTGTGTTCCAGGCAATGTTTTAGCTGGTGGGGATATAGTGGTAAATAAGGCAGTCAAAAGCCCCAGCTCTATTAGTTGGGGATGTGATGGTGAAAGGGTAGAATATAGTATACCATTAAATAAACAAGTTAATTTCAGATTGTGATAAACACTATGAAGAAACTAAAAGAAGGCTATAATAGAGACTTGCAGAAGCTGTATTAAGATAGGAGGTTTAAAATGAAATTTTCATTACAAGTTGTTTTTAGTCATGCTCAGATTTGGGATCTAATAATCCAGGCAGAGAAATAGCAAGTACAAAGCCCAGAGTCAGTGGCAAGCTTGGCCTATTTGGGGGGCAGAAAGAAAACCAGTAGGACAAGAATATTCTAGGCAATGAGAGGAGGTGGTGTGAATAGGCATCTCTTAATTTCTATTAAGGGTGATTCCTAGGCTTTGTCTTTGAGCAATTGGCTCAATTACCATTTTAAAAGTAAATTGTTGGGGCACCTGGGTGGCTCAGTCAGTTAAGCATCCAACTCTTGATCTCAGTTCAGGTCCTGATCTTAGGGTCCTGAGTTCAAGCCCTATGTTGGGCTCCATGCTGGGCTTGGAGCCTACATTAAAACATAAATAAATAAAAATAAAATAAATTGTTAAGATGGGGAAGACTGAGTGAAATTGAGGGGAGCCTAGGGTGAAGCCCTAAAAAGGCTTCTGGATCTGGGACTTTGGAGTTCTGTCTCTCTTCCCATTTCCCCTTTTCTCCAGCCTTTCCACATTTCAGCCTCAAAGATAGCCAGAGTTTTTGCATGCTTGCATGTTGATCAAAGGCTCCCAGAGCAGTTAGTCTAAAAGAAACCTGCAGAGCCTGCATGGACTTTTCTAACCCAGCCTAGGAAGTCATGCAGTCACAGACCACCTCTTGATGGGAAGCAATGTTTTTAAAACATTACAGAAGCTTTCATTATATCGTTTATTATCTTTAAGGTTAATAATCATTTCTCTTTAAAAACAATGTTGAACAGTAGCTTATCTTTGGAATTATTAATGATATATAAAATTATGAACCATTTGTTTATGCTGTGCTGATGGTTCTAAAAGTCTTCATATGACCTCCTTCCTTACACAGATACCTTACTGAATCCTATAACACCTTATCAAATGATATAAAATATTGAAAACGGTGCAGTTCTTCAAACTTTTGAAATTATTCAGAGTTCTGTAACCCTAACCTGAAAGGATGTATGAACAGGTTTCTAGTTGTGCTTGTCATTAGTTTTCTAGAATGAGTCCTAAATCTGTTGGATGTTAAATTAAAAATTTAATGGCTGAAACTGTAAAGACTTTTTAAAAAAATTTATTCCTTGTGTATTGATATTTGTAGTTTGGAAACAGCAATATTTTTTTCTTTACATTATCTAGAATTCTATAATGTATTTCTTTTTATTATATTCCTTTAGAAAGGGAACTAGGATTGTAGTTTACTTTTATATGAGTGATTTTAATAACTTAAAATGTGTGATACTCATCCTTGACTAGGTGTTACTCATCTTGGCAGCTTTGAGGGAAAAAAACCTATGCCCAGGTCCTACTCTTCAGAGATTCTGATTAGTTGATTTGGGGTGGGATCCAGGTATAAGCATCTTTTACGGCTCCCCAGTGAGTCTGTTATGAAGCCATATTTGAGACTCACTGGTCTATTGCTTCAAATTGTGGCATTTGCTGATGCTCATCTTTGTCTTTGTAACAGAAGAAAAAAATGGAAGGCCTGCCTGATGCTGCTGCTTTTGCAACTAGACTTAAAAACACTCTCATCCAGTATCATAGCATCGAAGATGATAAGTGGCGAGTTGCCAAGAAAACGGTGAATTATTTAAATTTCTTATATATGGCATTTATCTTCTATCTAGTGAGATGGTTGATGACTTTCAAAATGGTAAGGGAAAATAGGAACCATACTTTGGGTGGATGGCAGGATAGATAATTAAGATAATAAAGTCGGTGGTTTGACATCTCACCAAGGCAAAAGCAATAATCCTGCACTGATTTCATTACTGCTTTAGATATTGGACATGAGAATAGACTCTGGCAACACGAGCCTAAAGAATAGCTTCTAAGGTCAACATATAAAATATAACATGTACTGATAGTTTGAAATAGTTCCAGATATTTCAACAAGCCTGTGAGGGTGGCCAGTTAGTATTCTTTTCTACTGGTATGACTTGTCCAAACTATCACAACCCTAGAACCCAGGACTCTTCTAGTGAAGTACTCTAGCTAGTCTGATATTCAGAATTTCTTGGGAAATGAACAGAAAAAAGATGTAGGGACTAATTCAAGTTCGCACTGTCATAATAGATGTGAATTGTTTGATTTTAAAAAAGATATGAGCAAGTTCAGAATGAAATATTTAGCATTCCTCTTGTCTTAGTCTAAATGTGTCAGTAATGGTAAATAGATAAGATTGGAGTGAGGCAAATAATAATGGCTGGTGCGGATCTTAACAAGGTTTGCATCTCATTAAGCTACTGAGAAATCTGTTTTGGACGTCTGTACTTTAAGCAAGATGTGAAGAACTTTAGGATACAGAAGAAAATCAAATATGGATCATTTTGATGGTATAAGTGACTTTTATGTATCTCTGAATATTTACTTAAGTTTTATTTTAATGCAAAGACTGATGTTCTATAACTTGAAATTGTCAGTTTTATATCCAGAGTTCCACCTAGGTAATGATTTATGCCCGTATACTGTTTGTTATTTTTCCAGAAAGATGTAACAATTTGGAGAAAACCTTCAGAAGAATTTAATGGATACCTGTAAGTAAATTCTTGTAGTTTTATGTAGCTCTTAAGACATTGCCAGACTTCATATATATATATATAATATATATTTATATATATTATATATTATATATATATAAATGATCACTAAATCATCATTGCCAGTAAAATTTGACTTTTAAGATTTGTGAATTGTGTAAGGCTGTTGAATCACAGACCTGTACCTCTGAAACAAATAATACATTATATGTTAAAAAAATAAAGAAGAAGATAGTAGGAAGGGAAAAATGAAGGGGGGGAATTGGAGGGGGAGACGAACCATGAGAGACTATGGACTGAGAAACAAACTGAGGGTTCTAGAGGGGAGGGGGGTGGGGGGATGGGTTAGCCTGGTGATGGGTATTAAAGAGGACACGTATTGAATGGAGCACTGGGTGTTATACGCAAACAATGAATCATGGAACGCTACATCAAAAACTAATGATGTAATGTATGGTGATTAACATAATAAAATTTAAAAAAAAGATTTTAAACTTTCTGAAAAAGCATATCACCTTAAGAATTCAAAGCCTTTAAAGTGTCCATATCTCTTGTGGACTGAGTTGGTAGTAAGGGAAATCATAAATAATGATATCGGATGGCCTATAAAAATCTTAAATTTCTTAGCACACTGTATAACTCCTTCTAATATTCTTCTATATGTACTTAGTGCTATAGCATACTTTAAGAATTTATCTTAAAGAAATCATAAGAAAGATAATAGTTAAGTACTTATCTCTTCCATCACATTACTTATAATATTAAAAATTACAAACAACTTGAATAATCAATAGAGATGGTTAAATTTTGAAACGTGATATTTTACACTCTTTAAAAACTGTTTTCACATATTAGTTTAAAACACAAGAAAATGCTCAAGCTATAAAGTGAATAAAGCAGAATATGAAACTGCATGTAGAATTGTGCGTTGACTTTAATTTTTATGTATTAAAATATTTTTACTTAACACCAAATACACACCTTGAGATGGCTGCTTTATAGGTGATTTCTATTTTCATTTTTTGATATTTGCATATAGTTGAACATGAATTATACTTTTCACCAGAAGGAAAAAATACTGTTTTTTAAAGCCAGTAGAGAGACAGTTGCCTTGTGTAATTGGAGTGGAATGTTCATATCCTTGGGACTCAGTCCTTTTAAAAATGAAACTGTGGGTCCCACTTACTATGTGTTCTCAAGTATAATACCAAAGATAGCATTTCCAGAAAGATGAGTTATACAATATTTATGACAAGGACCAGGAAACTAGAGTTGTGGATTAAGCATTGTAAGCAAGTGTGAAGTTAATCCTTTAGATCACTGATTCCCAGTGGGGGTTGAAAAGCACAAAGAAGTGCCAAAGGAACATTATGCTTGGTGATTTGAGGGGACTTCATTGAAGAGCTAGTATATGAACTGAGCTTTAAAGCAAGAATGGGTTATTTCTTAGGGAATGAAGGACGGATTCATATTCCAGGCAGAGGGGATTGCATCTACTACATAAACACAGATGGAAAACACTCTAAGGAGTTTGTTTAGGGAAGTAGAAGTGATGTTTGTATAACTGGAGCATAAAGTATGAGGGTAGGGAGAGCATATGTCTGAAGGATTTTTGAATTCTAAAGTAAGGAATTCAATATTGTGCTTACCTTTGCTCAACCCTTACTCCCACCTCCCAGGTCGTCAGAGATTTTGAACTTAATCTGATAGCACTGTGAAAAATGGAAATGAGCATGGAGAGTTTAGAGAAGAGGTTTTACCCTGGGAGTCCATGGCTAGCTTCTTGAAGTTTCCTTAAGATCATAAACATAATTTTGTGTCAATGTTATATTCCTGGGAAGAGATCTTTGGCTTTTTTTCAGAAACTTCAAGAGATACATGGTCCAAAGAGCTAGAAATGGTTGCAGTGTTGAGTTGGACACAGAGTGCCCAAACTAAGGACGTAGCATGAGAGTTGAAAAGGGCAAGCGAATGTGAAAGGGATCTAATGGTGATGGTGGTGATGATAACTAACATTCATTGAGAGCCAAATATTGTTCTAAGCACTTTACATCTAGGAAGTCATCTTGATAAAACATGGTGACTTTTATTCTGACTATTGAAATGGGATCAAGAGAAAAAGAGTCAAAAGTTGAATCCCAGATATCTAATTTGGGATTAATTTGTATTGCCCCATTCCCACCCTCCACCCCAAGTTAGAGAACACAGGAGGGAAGAGCAGATTTAGGATGGGGGAGACAGTGTAAGGTTGAGCTGGAAATACTTACAAAATGATAAAACAGCTTCAGATGCTTTAAAAAAAAAAAATCTTTTCAAAAACCTGCCCAAAATGTTACTGATAAGAGTTAAAGCCAATCTATCTCTAATTTCTTTTCTTTTGTCCCCAGAGGTAGCTACTGTCTTAAAGTGTGTATTCCTGTTTTATACTTTGACCACATATATATATATATGTGTGTTTCCTTTAGTAATTTGCTTTTGATTTTTTCCATTTAATACAGTGTTTTTTTTCAGGATTTAGCCATGTTGTTACATGCAGATCTGTTCTTTCACGTTCATATGAAAATATTACGATGTGTTTAGCTGTGTTTGTAAATTTTTAGGTTGTTGACAATTCTTCCTTATAAAATACAGTGCTATAGTAAACTTCTTTAGTATATGTCTCCTTCTGTACACATGTGTGATTTTCTTTGGGTATGTACCTGGGTCTTAAGGACACGCATCATTCAACTACTGTAGACGTTGCCAAATTAATTGCTCTCTAAAGTGGTGGTAGCAGTTTGAGAGTTCTCATTCCCTTCTATTCAATACTTGTTATGTTTTTACTCTGCCAGTCTCAGGGATATGAGATGGTATCTTGTTAGTATTTACTTAGTACGAGTGAAGTTGAGCATCTTTTCCAAATTTACTGACATTTCCGATCAATCTTAATGTATCTTTTGTCCTTATTTTCTTTGGATTGTCTTTTTCTCATTGGTTTATAGGAATTAATTATGTATTCTCTATAATAATTATGGCTGTTTATATGTGTTGCACATACCTTCTTCCAGTCTATGGCTAGTTTTTAAAGAAATTACTTATTTTGTCATTTGTGGTATGCAAGTTTTTAATTTTAACTGTCTTGTATTATTTGTGTTTTTGTTTGTTTTATGTATTCAAGAAATCCCCCTGTATCCTGAGGGCACAAAGATGTATTTTTCTCAAAGTTTTAAATTTTATGTAGTGGTCTTTAGTCTGTCTGGAATTAATTGTTTTGAATGGTGTCAAGTAGTGATTCAGTTTTTAATTTCTCTTTAGGGTAAGTACTGAATCAAAGCGCCATTCATGCAATAGTACATCCTTTCCCCACTGATACTCAGTGCCACCTTTGAAATATGTCGAGTTCTGATACTATTCATGAGTCAAACCTCTGTGTGCTATTCCTGGGTGACCTATTTTTCTGTTCCTGTAAAAAAGTTTTTGAAAGTCAGAGTAAAAATATGTGCATACTAATAACATGTTAGAGCCTGAGAAAAGAATAGCATACAGAATAAATGAAGCTCGAGTGTCGTATGGACTGTTTCCGGCTACACCGTAACATGAAGGTACTTTCCTATGTTCATGATAACATAATTTAGCCTTCAGATCACTTGTTAGATTTGAGGGCAAAGAGTACATTCTGATAAAATAACTTAATTTATCAGAAAAACTGTTGGGATTTATTCCCTTTAAAAAAAAAGCTGTATTAACTTTTACTCTTTTTGAAGTTAGCTCTGAACTGTGAGGGCGTGCTGAAATTTTTCATACTAATAGCATTTGACCTTAATCTTTTTTCTCCAGTTTCAAAGCCCAAGGCGTTATAGATGACAGCATCAATAGTGTCATAGACCATATACGCCCAGGTCCCTGTCGCTTGGATTGGGACAGCTTAATGACTTCAATGGACATTTTGGAACACTTTGAAGAGGTATTTATTTAGAAACATCACTTCAGATTTTGGGTGTGTGTGTGTGTGTGCATGTGAGAGAGAGCATGTGAGTGTGAGCATGTGCACCTACTTGTATTCATTGTATTCATTGTTTTGAGAGTAAGTAGTCGTGGCAGAGATCTCACAGGGGAATCCTTTCTGCCTTTTAAAAAGCTTGAGTTTCCTCATATTAATGAGTATTAGTCAGAACTGCGTTTGTTTTACACAGCAGCTCTACCCTTGCTGCTTAAGAAAACTGTCAGCTCTTTAATTGTAAAACTTAAGTTGAGATTCTGAAATCTAAAATTCTAAAAACAACACCATCATATTCAGGTTTCTAGATAATCGTATGTAGGTTTTTCCATTAATGTTAAGCCAAAATCAAAGACCAAAACCAAAAATGCCACCTTAGGCATTAGAGAATGATGTAACCAAAGTGGGTTGTCCTCTTTTTCTATTTTTGTTAATTCATTTTTCCCATGTTTGAATTTCTTTATTGAAACATTTGGTATTTTGGTCCAAATATTTGTGGATTTTTATCTTAAACACCTATAGTCTACACCACCTACTTCCGTGTTGAATATCATATAGGATACAATACACTGCATTGAGTTAGAGATTTAGATACTGGGTAACTTACCTCTTTGTATTTTAATCATAACCTTATTCATTCCCATACAGTGGCCATGAAGTTTAGACGAGAGATCTAAACCTATCAGAACCACTGTAAGAATTATTCTTAATAGGAATTATAAATACATTTTGAATGAGTATGAGTTTTTTACTAAGGGTTAATTTATGATATATGAGTCCATATATGTTTCCTAAGTAGTAACAACTGTCACCTCTTCTCTTTCAGAATTGCTGTGTGATGCGTTACACTACTGCTGGTCAGCTTTGGAATATAATTTCCCCGAGAGAGTTTGTTGATTTCTCCTACACTGTGGGCTATGAAGAAGGGCTTTTGTCCTGTGGTAATGATCGCAAAACCTTGTACTTTCTTTTCATTTGTCTTAAATATTTGAGTTTTCCCGGCTGGATGTTTCTATGTGAGATATATTTTCAGCCTTCACACTTATTTTATAATCACTAAGCTTTGCAAATGCTACATCCCAGGAATTAAAATAACAGTATCAAGAAGGGTTTTGAAATCTTTCTGGTTAAGTTTTTATTCTCAGTTACATGGTATCCTCCAGGTCACAGCTACAAACAGGAATCACGTAGCTGCCTCTGAGAAAGGGATGTAGTAAGCAGATTAAGTCACTCTCAGAAAATAGCTTCTTAGTCATATCCATAGAAAAAATAGGCATGGTGTGTTAGAATATTTTTCCTTCCTTGAGCTGTGTAATATTTTTTTTAAAAATGAAAAATACTGCTATTAGAAGGCTCCTGCTTCCTAAAATATATCTATAGGTAAATCAATCTCTTTTTGTGTATCGTATATACTTGAGTAGGCTGTTGTAGGTAAATATCTGCTTGTTTACTCTTAGCCAGCCAGTACCAAAGTTGGATGTGGTAGTGCCTTTAGGGAGTAGTGGTGGTACCATAGTTTTGATTTTTGGCACCTTGAGGCCTGGGTGCTACAGCCAAGATTCATAGTTTCCAAGGAGTTACCAAGATGACATAATGTTACCTATTCTGATGGGATTAGAACTTTCCCCATTACCTCTAGCCCTCTGTCAGAATTCTGCTTGGTAATTATCTTTTTCATTCTTCTATGGTCACTCTTGGGGCTTAGTTTTCATCTACATGAGTAAGAAGAAAAAAATTTTTTATTTTATTATGTTAATCACCATACATCATTAGTTTTTGATGTAGTGTTCCATGATTCGTTGTTTGCGTATAACACCCAGTGCTCCATTCAATACATGCCCTCTTTAATACCCATCACCAGGCTAACCCATCCCCCCACCCCCCTCCCCTCTAGAACCCTCAGTGTGTTTCTCAGAGTCCATAGTCTCTCATGGTTCGTCTCCCCCTCTGATGTCCCCCCCTTCATTTTTCCCTTCCTACTATAAGAAGAAAAATATTTAAACAAGAAATCTGATAATATGATTGTATGAGAGTTGTAGACTAATCTCAGTCACTGCTATTAATGGTGTTATTTTAAAATTTCCTTGTAGGGCTAAGTGTTGACTGGAGTGAAAAGAGACCAGAATTTATTCGTGGATATAACCATCCTTGTGGTTGGTTTTGTGTTCCACATAAAGACAATCCACACCAGAGTCTTTTGACAGGCTACATTCAGACAGATCTGCGCGGGATGATTCCTCAGTCTGCGGTAGATACAGCCATGGCCAGCACTTTAGTCAACTTCTACGGTGATTTACAAAAAGCCCTACAAAAGGCATAATACATTTAACTTGTAGTATGATAGTCCCCCAAATCAACTTTTTCTCTCAGCTGCATGGGCTGTGAAAATCATCCTTTCCTCTCTTCTGTGTAGCCTATAGAAAAATTTGAGGTGATTTGCTGGTTTATTTTATTCCTAAAGTAAATAGTTATCTAAGAGAGGGCATTTCCATTTTCTTAGACAGTGACTTCCACACTGTTTGGTACAGCAGTGTGTCTAAGCATGGAGAGAATGACAGACATCCATGAAGATGTAGGTATACTTCTTTGACCTGAACTCCTAAGAAACTGAATACTGCCTCAGTATGAATATTTTGGCTACTTGGAAATTAGAGAAAGCACAAGCTTCATGTTGTTAGTTAAAATCACCTGTTTTAGAGTTTTAGGAACATTTTCTAAGTTTTAACTATTTTTGGAAGCTAAATATTAGTGCTTTACTTTTGGTATGCTCTGTGAATTCGCCAGTATCTTGGACTAAAGAAAAAACTATATTTTATAAAGGTGAACTTCATTGTCAGGTGACTTGTACTACTTTAAGTATTGAAAAAATCAGAAATAGAAAAAGAATAGATACAGTAGTATAGATACAATTCAAATACAATTGTTTTGATACCTAGATAACATTATTTTGTGGATATCTTTAAAAATGTATTTGTATCTTTCTGTGCGTTTCTTTTGGAAGGCCTAAAAAGCATTTATGCATGGATAAAACAGTACAAAGAACTGCCAAATATGTGCTGGGGACACCACATTGATTGGATTGTGTGAACTGGTTGGTGGTACCCTATATTCACACAACAGCAAATTGTCTAGAAATCAAATCCAGTGAGTGTCTTGTTCATGTTTTAGTTTAGTTTTGTTTTTTTAAAATAAGCCCTCAAGAAATAGCTCTTAATTCTTAGAAGTATGTGATATTCTGTAGGAAAATAATCAGATTTTCAGTCTTTCTCATTTGATCCATGTTCACATTTCAGTTTTAAAGTATCACTCACCTCATAAAGTATTACTAAGTACATCATAAACATTCACAGTTGTGACATAACTTCAGTCTGGACCTTTAACAAATACATTCATAGATTTGTCCACATGCCTGGATGAGTCATTTTATAACAAGCATGGACTATAATAGGTCCCTTATTCTGTGGCTGCCTTAAATGAACATTCCTGAATGATTTTCACATTCCAGATGATTCTTTGGCTTTTGAATAACCACCTGGGGTGCCTGGGTGGCTCAGTTGGTTGGGCGACTGCCTTCGGCTCAGGTCATGATCCTGGAGTCCCGGGATCGAGTCCCGCATCGGGCTCCCTGCTCAGCAGGGAGTCTGCTTCTCCCTCTGACCCTCCCCCCTCTCATGCTCTCTCTCTATCTCATTCTCTCTCTCAAATAAATAAATGAAATCTTAAAAAAAAAAAAAAAAAGAATAACCACCTGGTTTACTTCTAAAATGAGACCTTGAGGCAACTCAGTATATCCATGCAAATGTTTGTATTTATGTTTGTGTTCGGGCACACATCTTGAAATCTTATCTTCCTGTTCAATGTGAGTTCTTTATGTGGTACTTACTGTATCCATTGTTTTGTTTCTTCTTCTTCTTTTTTTTTTTTTGATTAATTTTTGTATACTCTATATTTTATATTCTAGTATTCTGTCTAGGATGGTGAATGCCAGCAGATGTCCAATTATATGGTGCCCAGATTGGGTGAGGGATTTGCGATAAGATTGCCTGAGCTGGGTGCTCTTGTTGCCTGAGCTGGATACCCCTAAAGCAAATAAACTGTCCACTCAGTGACTCTAATGTTCTCTTTGTCTTTTTCAACTTATACCTCCAATTAGTGACTACATAATCCACTGCTGAATTGGACCCATTGCACATGAAAGGACCTTCACGGAAAAATTTTTGTTGCAATATTGAGTCATATGATAGATTGAAAAATAATATTTGAATCACCTGAAATTTATATGCAGCTTCTAGATGGCACTTTAGATCTGCTGGGCTCTAGTTGGCACTTCTTTTTAAAAAACAGCTTTATTGAGGTATAATTTACACACTGTACAACTTAACTGGCTGGAAGTATACAATCCAGTGACTTTTGAATACATTTATAGTTGTGCGGTCATCACCACAATCCAGTTTTAGAACATTTCTATCAACCAAAAAGACCCCTTTTGCCTGTTTGCAGACTCCTATCTAACCAAAGTTTAGCACATTTGCCAATATACAGAAGATGAAAAAGATCAGAGTAGGTTTTATCTGGTTTTGTTTTTATGCATAGAGGCATAGTTGATTCTAAGCTCAGGCCTTTTGTGGTAGTATATTAAATATGTTATCTCAAATACTGTAATTATACAAAAATTTAATGAATGGGTTGGGATTAATATTAAACATATAATTGAATCTGCTATTTCTGTAGCAGTGCTATAGAATAGAAAAATAATGTGAGCCATATACTATGTAATTTAAAATTTTCTAGCAGTCACATTAAAAAAGACAAAATGAAACAGCTGGTGTTAATTTTAATAATATAATTTATTTAACTCAGTAGATCCCAACTATTACCATTTCACCATGTAATCACTGTAAACACTCATTAGGATAGTTTACATTCTTCTTCTGTACTAATTCCTTGAAATCGGGTGTGTATTTTACTAATTTGGATAGCCACATTTTAAGTTTGCATTATCCACATCAGGCCAGTGGCCTGCATTAAATAGCACAGATCTGTAGTATATGTATTAATTTGTCTTTTTATAATATGAAGTAATGAGTTTCATGGAATTACTCTCTTAAATACAAAATGTTTTCTGGTCTCTGCAGCCTTCAGTGCTTGCTGAATGGGGACTTCTGAACATTAGAAATAAATTAGTTTGTAGTTATTAATAAAATAAAAATTATAGCCAAAAAAACTTTTCCTTTAAAGATGACCCCTTTCAGAGGGCAGTGAATGAAACAAAAAAATATAATCTGCCTTGTTAGGTGGTTGATTATTTTCTCTAGCTTACAGCTAGTTTGCATCAGAAACCTATTTATGCAGGAAATATTAGCATAGTACTGTTTTCAGTACATGTTACCTATTTTTTTAAGGACATAGTTTCATACAAAAAATCGTAAGTTATCATAAGTGATACTTTTGCAGGAAGTTTTAGTTTGTATTGATAACCCTTGATTAACCTTTGAAGTTTAATGCAATACTTAGCAAAAATAATTGTGGGAACTTAGTGTCTGCAGTGATGTATAATATGAACTGCTAGAGTGTCTTCATTTTACTGTTCATCGAGGTTGGATGTATTTGAAATTGTAGATTTCTACATGTAAAATTATCTCCCAGTAAAAATAATTTTCTTTCTTTTTCTCTCTCCTCCTCCTTTCTTTACTAACTGAAAGGCATATTATCAGCACTCAGGTTGAATTAAATTCACATCTCAAACTAAAAATTCTGCAACTGAGGTTGCCTCTAGAGAAGATAGGAAAACATTGCACAATTTAAGCCCTTAATTGTCTATTGAGCTTTTGGGTATGAGTAATTTCCCTTGATGTAGATAGAGCTTTACCTATTGACTCAAGAGCACACTGGCGCCCTTAGAATCAGTGGTTAAAATCCAGATCCTTTTACTTACATGGATACTGCTGCTCTCTCCACCTTATGGACAAATTTTGAAACCCAGAGAAGTTAGGGGACTTTACCAGGTTTCCATCAGAATGTGTGTCAGATAATCACTTGTCTGGTGTATCTCCATTGCCTTTCTTACTTAACAGCTTCTAGAAGGTGGGATCTGAGCATACAAGAAACATAAGAAGTTGGAATTTTAATTTCTTCATTATTTTGTTGTTTCCAAAGATTTTACATGTATAAATAAAAGTTCATCTCATATAATTCAATAAAAGCTATACTATATATAGATTTTATTTTTTAAGTTTATAATTCTTTTATGAGCCAATATGTAAAACTTGAACCTTTAATAAACTAAAAGCATGTTTTAATATAAATAAACTGTGTATTTTTAAATTGCTATGAAAAATACCAATAAATTACTAGACACTCTTATCACTGATATGGTCTAAGTTGCTTTAACCTTCAATACTGAAAAATAGTTTCATATGTGTGAACTTAAAATATGTAATTTAACTTCCTATATTCTTACAAAAGAAAAATATAAACTGGAAAATAACAATTAATAACTCATCTGCTAACCTCTCAGCAAAGCCTCATAGAATATTAGCCCAAATACTGCTGAATTTTGATTTGCTATTATGTAGCCAGGATGATGATGAATGTGTTCTTCCCTTATTACAGCAACATATACACAGGGCTTACTGTACACACATTTAAATAATTGTGTTAACTTGATTAGGAATTGTGATCATTTCATTTGAAGTTGAAGAAAGCTGGAAGTGATGACACAAAGAGACTCGATCTGTGTTACCAGAAAGTAACTATGGATGCTGTGGGCAGTATGCAGTAGAAAATATGACTATTAAATGGTTTAAACAAACTGAGTTATCTTTCTCATTTAATAATGAATCTGGATATAGGTAATTTAGTGTTTATCAGTTCAAAGATGTTAGGGCCAGAGTTTCTGCAGTTCCTACTTTTCTCTCATAATGATAAGGTGATTGACTAGCCCTGAAAATTACATGTACATTCAAGTCAAGAAGCAGGTGAAGCCTTGGCACCACTCATTGGTCTCTTTTATCAGGAAAGTAAAAGCTTTCCCAGAAACCTCCACTAGCTTTCCTTTCCAGTAGTCTCTGCCACATGACCACCATTGCTGAAAGGGTGGTTGGGGAGGCAAGCATAAGGATTTCCAGCCTTTTGAAGAGAGGGATGGTGATGAATGACTCTTTGGATAGCCAACATAGCATCTCTTAGGGGATCAGCTCTGGAAAGTGGGTGTAAAGCTCCTTCAGATGTCAATAGGAAACCGATAGACTACCAAAATAGAAATGAAAATAGCCAAGTAGTCATTCGCTTCATGAAAAATTTATTGGACCTCTTTCATGGCAAACACTACATAGCTATCCTTAGAAGCGATGGAGCTTCCTCTGTACCTTGTCAATTAAGGGCTGGTGTCACATGGCATTTAACATGAATGACCTTTGTTTCCATTACCCCATAATATTTTCAGAATATATAATAGGTATGATTATATTACAGATAATATAATAATAGAATATGTTATCTTATTCCTCTGGAGCAAAGGGTCTACTACCGACGGCTTCTCTAGCTATGAGATGACAGAAAGTTGCCGGAAAACAGGAACTGCACATGTGTCCCAGGAGGTGGAGGGTGGAGCCGTGCTACCTGTGTTATCAGCTGTCCAGGTAATTAGGGGGCTGTACTGTTCTGCTGGTAACAATAACGGTGGAAGCATAGTGTAAAAATACTAACCGAGGCTTTTTACTCGTTATTTGGATAGTATTCTTTTTCAGGAGCTTTACCTTCCTACTTAGGTTTTGCTTTTGTGACATCCCTTAAATACAAAGCAGCTGATTTTTTAATTCAAGGAAGTGGTCTAGAGATTGTACAAAACCAGGTTGAAATAAAAAATGTGTTTATATAGTTAAAAAAATGGACTTGCAGATGGGAGAGGTTTTTATTTTTCTCTAGCATTTCCCTCAGTTGAGAAGTCATTGTTTAGGATAAGTGTGTCTTCTCAACAAAGCAAGGATTTTGGACCTAATGGTAGTAGCAAGCTACAGTTCTGAGAGCAAGCCCCTTCCCCTCAGATATTTCATACAAATGCTTGCTCATTGAGTGGCCAAGCTCAAGACTCACAGCTCTTTTTACAACTCTTGCAATCAGCTTCTTAAGAGTGAATGTGCACTTTTTTGCCTCTCATTCTCAGGTCCTGTAGGTTTGCAAGCATCATCATGAAGTGACCACTAAATACCATTTGGTCCAGCAACTGGCAACTCCACATTAGGATTATTTCCTTAGGATAGATGTTCCCCAATACAGAAAAGGCTTTATGTAGTATTACTGAGAAAAGAAAAAGATTTGAGACTGAATCATTATGCAGCTATCATAAATGTTTGCCATGATTATATAAAAATGGTTGTGCTCTAAGGATACATTGGTACAAAAAAAGTTATAATACGATTACAAGTCTATAAGAAAAAAGTCAACTAATGCTAGAGAAAAAACAACAGTGCTTGCCTTTGGAAGGTGTTATTATGGTGATTTTCTACTTTTCTGTATTTTCAAATTTTTATAATGAAAAATCAGTTTTTCTATGAAGCGCTGCATTTAACTTTTATCCAGTGAACTGACTTTCTAGCAGCGAGAGCACTAGGCGAGGAGATGGGCAACCCAGATCTGTTCTCTTCCTTGCCACGAACTGTGACCTCCGATAAGTCATTACCTCCCTGGGTCTCACTTCTCTTTAATAAAATGAGCTTGTTGGATTAAATGATGAATAAGGTCCCCTTTTAATTTTAATAATTTTAGGACTTTCATGACATCACTGTATAGTGTTTAAAGATGCTATGAAACTCAAAGTGTAATTTTATCTCAGACAATGGGAAAACAATTCAACTCCCTATTTCACAGGTAAGGAAAATGTCAATCGTGTCACTCTTAAATTGTAGTAACGCTTCAAATCACAGAATGCAAACTTTTGGGTGGGCTCTTCGATGATTTATTATCATACCATACATGCAAATTGCTTTACAGATTTCGCAGCAGTAAGGAATATGCTTCTTTTGGCATGCTCTGACATAGCTGGGTGAACTTAACACAAAGTAACATCGGCCCTCACTAAGGTCAATTTCAACAGTCTACCAACATCATTTTGCCACATGTCACATATTCTTCTTTTATGTTCCTAGGAAACACCAAAAAATGAGCATGTTTAGTCATTTAATCAGGTTATCCAACCTGAGTCCAAGAAGAAGCAGTTGTCTACGGCGTGCATGTCCTCTGCCCCGGGCTTTGGGCAGCGGAGAGCGCCAAGGACTCTGTGTCCCATCTGGGAAGCAGGGACTCACAGTCAGTCACTGCCACTGAGGAATAGGGACGCTCAATCAAAAGCAAACGGGCATGATTTTGATGAATTCTCTACAAACATTTTCTGTATTTACATTGTGGCCTAGGTCAGCTTACATATTTATCTAAAAAATATTGTAATAGATCTCTGTATGAAGGAGTCAATAGCACCATTTTGACAGATTTTAGAAATGAAATGTTCACAGCTCCTTTTGCAGTACTTTGCAGTCAGATGTTGGGAAGGTGGCCTGCGACCTTGGCTGTGTAAACTGAAATTTTTATACTGTATGCTACATGCACTTGTTTCTAGCTAATAGCAGTCTAAACTATGGACACGTAGGTTCCCTGTATATAACGGTATCCCATCAATCGAATCCTCCATGCTGTTCTGAGCTTATGTCCCTTGAGTCCAGGAAACTTTCAAAAACCGAGAAGTACAAATTTTTCCTCTAGGAAAAATGAGACAAGACATACCAGCTCATTTCACAAGCCTGAAAAACCCTGGTAGGAAGTATTCCTTTCTCAATGCCTGCTAATTTGGGTTTTCTGTGCACTCACAGTAGCTCTTAGCTTCTCTTCGTATCTCTTAAGACAGTATCTGCCTTTGCTGCTTGTCCATCGCTTGGATCATAGTCAACCTTTGTCCCTTCTTTGTCCCAACCTTTGTTGTTTCTTTGGCCCTGAGGAGTCCTGCAGCCATTCACTACTCACAGACAGTATCTCAGACAAGCCAAGTGGCAAGACTACTAGAGGGATAGATATCGTGTAATCTGACTCTAGTTGGTAAATATTTTTTAAAAGTAAGTTTCTCGGAGGTCAAATACTGCCTGCCATGAGTGATAGAAAAGGGGCTTTATAGAAGGCTATGTAAAGAACCAAAGGGGAGGGAGAGGTAGAAGAGAGACCTTGACAGGACCAGCTTGATGTCTGGGGAAAGCAGTTGTGAAAATTTCACATCTTGTTGTCTGAGACTTAACTTTTTATTACAAGTTGTCTTGAAGTCTAAACGTTCAGGTATGACTTATCCCAGTGGGGGATCGCCCTTTCAGGTCTGATAACTTAAAGATGAAAATAATTATGACAGAAGGAACCTTGACATGGGCCTCTACTGGCAAAACTCCAGCAAGTGGTTAGGTGATTTTCTAGAGTCCCAGGGAGTTATTCAGATACTGGAGTTCTGCAAAGCTTACTCAGAAACCACTCATTGTTTACTCTGCTTTGTCAGTGGAGACCTCGCCAGTGCAGTTTTTGCTTTTAGGTGACAGAGGCTTTGTTTCAACGGGTGACTTGAAAAAATGTCTGATGTGTTGGGTGATTTTTTATTCTACTTAGGAATGCACCGAATTAGCCAATCTCCATGTAGGAGATCCCAGAGGGCTAGATGCTCTGAGGAAATGCTGCACACTTACCTACCCAGAATAAGAAAGA